GAAACAGTTTTTCTGAAACCTCGTGCGCCATTCAAACTGGTTGCCTTCAACGTTCGCACACTTATGCAGGTTGGTCAACAGATAGGGCTGGCTATGTCTTTGGAAAGTCTTAATATTGATGTTTGTTGTCTATCCGAGACCCGTATTCAAGACTCTAGCGAAGTACTACAAATTCGCTCTACATCTGTCACTTCAAAAAGCTTGTTTTACGTGCGCTTATCCGGGGACCCTGTGGCATCTTCGTCTGGTCTTGCAGGCGTTGGTGTCGCACTAAGCGCTAGAGCTGAGGCAGCACTAATCGATTGGATCCCCATTAACAGTCGGTTATGCGCTGTTAGATTAGAAAGTTCCATCAAAGTGAGAAGAAATCGGCGTGAGAAACGATGTGTTTTCGTCATCTCCGCCTATGCCCCGACAGATTGCAGCCCGGATGCAATCAAGGATGAGTTTTACCACCAGTTATCAGTTCTTCTCCAGAAAGTGCGTTCGACAGATATTGTAGTACTAGCCGGAGACTTGAATGCTCAGGTCGGGCGTCTAGGCACAGAAGAGAGTCGTTTAGGTGGCCGATGGGGACTCGTTGGTCGCAGGACAGATAACGGGGACCGTCTACTGCATCTATGCACAGACCACAACCTGTTTCTGGATAGCACTAACTTTCGGCATAGTCATCGCCGATGTGCCACCTGGCGTCCTCCCTCTGCATCTCAAGCCTGGACTTAGATTGATCACATCGCGATCAGCTACCGCTGACGTGGTTGTGTACCAGACTTCCGCTTCTTTTGGAGTACCTATCTGGACTCTGACCATGCCTTGGTCTGCGCCAATCTCGCCTTACTTTTCAGTGGCCAACGAAGTGACCACCACCAAAAGATTGATGTTAGCAAGCTGGTTGCAACTTCTGTTGCAAATAAGTATCGAACCGAGCTAGCCTCTAGGCTAGCTACCACTCCACCGAAAAGTGTAGATGAGCATTGGTTGCAATCGCATGACGCCATGAAAATGGCGGGTACAGTTGGTTGTGGGTTCGCGAAACGTCCCGCTTTTAAGCACTGGGTTTCTGCAGGTTCCTTAAAACTCATCGAAGCCCGTCGGTCTACTCCGCGTGACCGTGAGTTTGACCACAAACGAAGGATGTTACGTAAGGAAATTGAGCAAAGCCTGCGTAAGGACCGAGAAGCCTGGTGGTCGAAGCGTGCTAATGAGCTGGAAGCAGCAGCTGCATCTGGTAATTACCGGAAGCTCTTCCAACTCATCCGAGCCACTGGCAGCAAGAAGTCTGGTGTGAGTGAAACAATCTGCGAGGATGATGGGATGCCAATCACTAACATCCATCGACGTCTTGGACGGTGGGCAGAATTTTTCGAAGGGCAGTTCAACTGGCTTCAGTTATACTACGTAGGTTGTTCAAAACCCGAGAAAGATTGACCCGCGAGGAGCAGGCTGGGTTTCGTTCTGGTCGAGAGTGTATTGATCATATCTTCACCCTCCACCAAATGTTAGAACACCGCCATACTTTTCAAAGGCCAACAATCGTAGTGTTTCTTGACATCAGGGCTGCCTTCGATTAGTTGGATAGGACTGTTCTCTGGGATTATCTATTGAAGAAGGGTGTGCCTGAGAAGTTTATTAACATCCTAAAAGCCCTGTATAAAAACACCTCAGGCAGAGTGAGGGCATACAACCACCTCTCTCCATTGTTCCATTCGAGCAGTGGGGTTAGGCAGGGTTGCCCAATCTCACCATTCCTCTTCAACTTTGCCATCGATGACATTCTGGAAACAGCTCTGATGAATGTAAGTAATGGTGGTGTGGATCTGTTGCCTGGAGAAACACTTCTCGACCTTGAGTATGCGGACGATATTGTCTTACTGTGTGATAATGCCCAAGGCATGCAATCCGCACTTAATCAGTTGGCAATCAGTGTCCGTAGGTATGGTATGTGCTTTGCACCTTCGAAATACAAAGTACTTCTACAAGACTGGCAGGATTCCAATCCTGTACTCACCCTGGATGGTGAGCAGATAGACGTAGTCGAGAAGTTCGTATATCTGGGTAGCTGCATAAGTGCTGGTGGGGGTGCGAGTGATGAGATCAATGCACGTATAGTGAAGGCCAGAGCGGCTTATGCCAATCTGGGTCATCTATGGCGCCTTCGTGATGTTAGTCTGGCCGTAAAAGGTCGGATCTACAACGCGTCGGTGAGAGCAGTTTTGCTCTATGCTTATGAAACCTGGCCTCTCCGAGTTGAGGACGTTAGACGACTCTTTGTGTTCGATCATCGCTGTCTCCGAAGGATTGCTGACATTCAGTGGCAACACCATGTCAGTAATGCAGAGGTTCGGCATCGTGTGTTCTCATAGTCAGTGGTTGTTAACAGATAATTTTTATCAAACTCAGCTTTTAACTTCCTCAACCCTTGTAAAAGGTTGATTTGGGACAGCCCATCAACTTTAAATCTCTATTGGCCTTAGCCTGTCTTTTAGCACTTTTATGAAGCTCTTAATTATTAGTCTAAAAGAAACAATTAGTCAAACTGAACAAAAGCATTAAGCGTAATTGTAGACAGTAAAAATAACCCACCTGCATGGCGTGAGAATTTTGAAAAAGTGGTTTAAAGCCGACAACTCATTGTCTCGTGTTTGTTTGACGTACTACAACAAAACCTCAACATCGGTTTTGTATTCGTGACCAAAGTTCATGATATTAATAATAATAATAATATTTATTAATTGTAATTTCATCTTCAAAGGTTTAAAAATGCATTGGTGATGAAGTGTTTGTCAGGAAAACTGCGCAATGCAGATTTTGGGGTTTTTCCCCAAACTTTGGGGAAGGCCATCGAACTTTGTTCATTTACTCAGAATTGGTAGATTGGGATGAGAATAAACTTTTATGTCGTTATTATCGACAGGCTTTTCCTTGATGTCTGTGGAAAATTGTTGAGATGCATCGCGTTAAAGCGAGGCATTTCAGATAATTTCACCGAAGTTGCGGAAAAGTTTGCTGTTTCATAAATAAATATAGACAGATTTACCCAAAGTGTAGTAAACTTCTGGGGAAATCTTCAAATCTTAGTGGTAATATTGGAGAAAAATCCGAAATTTTTGGGAAATATTGTGGAAAAACTCAAAATTTCGGGGAATTTTTCCACATCTGGGGAGATTTTGGGGTTTTTAGGCCATTTCCGCAAAATTAGGACATTGGGTTTTTGTGCCATTTTTCCATAATTTTCTATAGTGGCTTCCCCAAAACAGACAAAGTTTTCCACAAAATGGGAAGATTAGTACGTAATAAGGGAGTCCCTGAAAGGTATATGAATCTACGATATCAGTTCCGGATTCACATCTCGACGCTGAGCAAACTATCGGGGAGCCAGGTCTGGGCGGTGTAGAGGATGTGTTCAAGAGGCAAAATAAGGTAAATGATTGGCTCACAGTCACAATCGGGAAAAGAAAAGTAAGAAGACAGAATTTGACCTCTGCGTTTGATGTTAATTGGAATCAGATTGCAGGGAAGAAACGGTTTCAGGGACTAAACTTCAGCAGCATGTTATGACGGACCTCTCTGAGAGGTCAATCACTTTTCATAAGTTAAGAGAATCTTCCGAAAAGGAACCAAAGGCTAGATTTGAGCACGACCTCAGTCATATTAAGTCCTTAATAAGCAAGCTATCCCCAGGAACAGTTTCAGGAGTCGGCATGTGTAAGCTTTATAGAATAGGACAAAAGGTGGATTCTGAAAGTCCTCAGAAAAGCTGCCTCTTGAAGGTTACCTTTGCTACGGTTGAAGAAAGAAACCTGATACCGGGAAACTCACGCAAATTGATTGGATCCGTAATATACGCCCGTAAGGATCTCAGCCTGGTTGACCGTATTAAGAAATGAGTTGCGGAAGTAGAAATAAATGAGCGACGCCGAAACTTAGGGGTTTTCAAATTGTAAAAGTTCGAAGCAAAACGATCCCCAAACCACCCTGGGTGGTCATGAAAAGTTCTCCACAGAATTAAAGGTGTGCTACACAAATGCTCGCAGCCTACTAAGTAAAATGACGGAGCTCAAGGCAATCGTGGTTATAGAAAACCGGATATTATTGTTGTCTCAGAAACATGGTCAATGTTAGAAGTGTTCGGTAATAAAATTCACTTGACTGTTTTTTATCCAGTACGACTGATAGATTAAACCGTAGGGGAGGTGGGGCTATCCTGTACACGAAAAGTACCTTAACCATACGAGCTTTTGAGACAGTAACACATGATTCAGGGACATGTGAACTGGTGCGTTGCAGGCTGAAGTGTAGACGGCAAGATATTGGATTAGGTGTAGTATATCGCGGCCCAGAATGTGTAGTTGACGACTTCCTCCCAAGCCAACTTAAGTCCTGGTGACTCATTTCAGGCAGTTATACAATCGGTTAACTCAATCATATATACCCTTGACAGTCCCAAAGAAAAAAAGCACGGCCATCCCTGGATAGGCCGGGATGTTCGACGTTTACTAAGATAACCCTATGGGCTTTAAGACGGATATTCACCAAGTTAAATTCTACTATGTTCACTACAGTATACACAACCTTAGTGAGAACAAAGCTTGAGAACTGCGTTCAGGCTACAAGCCCATTTTAAGAAGTGACTCGGATATCCTGGAAAAAGTACAAAGGGAAGCTACCTGTGCAATTTCAGAACTCCGTGGTTTACCACACAAAGAGCGGCTTGAAAAGCTAGGCCTCTATACTCTGTCTTATCGCAGTTTAAGACGTGATCTGATTTTTATGTATAGAATACTAAGAAATGATTCTGGACCTAATATATCCTCTTTTCCCACTGAGAATTCTGTATTGTTCCGGACATATTCAATAATGCCACTATTATTACTATTTTTTTTTACCATAGTTATGACTGCCGTTACATAACTCCCACACTTAACATATATAAACTTAGGATACTGTCTATTTTTATTGGTAAAATAAATATCTTTAATTCATAACTGTTATTTATTCAGTTTACAGTCTTATTCAACAATGAACTCAGGATGAAATTTAGTGCTCTATTTGCAAATATAAAAAATTCAGAATGCCCATTGTCTCTTCTGAAGAGCTATGTAAATGATGGTGTTGTCCTAAAGGACTTCAACAAATGCGAGGAAATTGGTTCACTCGTTTGCTTTCTCGTGTCTAAAACATATGGGCTTGGCCTCAAGATACTCCTTGACTGTGGTTTGGATATGTCTGCTAGTGTAAGTTTGCAGTTAGTATTTTTGTTACCTTATTATTAAAACCGAAAAATTCAAATCAATTAACCATTTAATACTATATGTTGTTAGCTGTTTATCCAAAGAGTACATCTGACCTTCACTAACGAAATACAAGTTGCGGCTTAATCTATAAATGTTTCTAGTAAAATCAAATATTATCAAAATACGAAATGTCACCGCAAAGGTCCTAAGCATGTAGCTTTTTTTATCATTTGTAAGGTCTGAGTTATCTCGTTATCGATATTGAAGATCACATTTCGATCAGTCTTTGTTGACACATGTGAGTCTTGTTGGGTTCGCCCCAATGTAACCAAAGTATCACAAGTTGTATGTAGAATAGAGTAAACGTCCTTAACAATCTAATCCACGTTTCGTTCTAGTATTTTTTTAAATAAAAGAACATTTGGCATTCATTTGTGCATTTTGTTTACATTGTTTATTTAATTCAGCATCACATTACTGGAGACACACCATTGATCATCCTTTGCAACGAAGGTTTATGTGGTGCAACGAAACAACTAATTGACAAATTAGAACCGGCTAGTCTATTTCATTCCAACGTCATTGGATTAACAGCTATAACACAATTGCTCTGTCGCGCTCACGGGGCTTGCAACTGCTTAGAAAGTCTTCTTTCACATCTGTGCCTTTGCAGTGCTCTTTTACCAGTTGACTTGCGTATGAACAGTCATACACGCAGCATGAGTAGTATGGGACTTTTACATTCAGAACCCTTATTTGAAAATGAAGGAAGTCAGGTGTTATTCACTGTTGATCAGCTACTGGGACGCATTAAGTCAGATAATAGTGAGCGTATCATCTCTGTATTACAACTGTGGATAAAAGCAAATCTTCTGCGTTTAACGTACAGTAAGTTTATCACAGCATTCTTCAAGTAAGGCGATCCCAAGTTTTCGGCCTATAATCAAGCGGGTAGATTAATGTAGGTGCATGTACAAACTTGTGATCTCTATGTACCCGCTCTTTTTAGCACACTGTGAGATACTCAACGAGTAAGATACTAAAAACAATGTCAACAATATTGGAGCACCAAAAGCAGCGACCAATGTAGGTAAACGAAAGCATAGAGTATTAAAATATAAACGTTTCTGGAGAATGTAGTAACTGGGTATGAGTAAAATATACTCAGGTCGCTTCAGTCAACTTTACAATACTATCTGATTTACCACCGCAACCTTAGTGCTCTTGATCTAAAGTCAGCATTTGAAATCCTCATATTTCCTTTGTTAAACATTACTGTTGTTTCAATGCTGACTGAATATCGTACTGGACTGTAAAGGGTTGGAAATTTAATCCATGACCCATGATATACCTCTTTAATTTATCCTTGTGTATGTCTTATTATGACGGGTGAACAAAAATATTTCCTTTCGGTACGTTATACTACTATAACACATTAATATAACCAGGATTGAGATTTAAAGCTATACAGACTGGGACTACGTTTTACCAAATATACGATTCACGGCAAGAAATAGATTACCAGAGTGTAAGCCAATAGTTTATTTAACACAATTACACGCAGTCTATACTTAGTGATTCCAGAGTGAAAATCAGTGATGGTAAAGATACCACTTATTTTTAATAGTAAGAAAACTGTGTGTCAGTTCATGCTCAGTGACCAATCACATCTTACCTCCATTTACCACATATCAATCTTTGATATAGGCTGAGAGAGACTTTCCAGTCTCAATAGTTCGATATCTAATGAAACAAGACCATGAAAAAAGTTCAAGCACGTAATCTGGAAGAAGTACCAATAGTTTATTGATCCTCTAGATTAGTAACAACATTCATATAATCTCTCTGCCCACTGTTGAGTTGACATATGTTTCTTCTTATGCTTAAAGTTAGCGTCTATGTATGTAATTAAGTCACCTGTTAAAATAACTGGGTGACCTTCAACTCGCCTGAACTCCAAATAGTGAGGAGTAAGTACAGTGCTATCAGATTTAGCTGTAACCAGAGAACTGCCAGGTGAATTCTAATCTAGCAGTGGATGTTTTGCTTGTGAACTTAATGCATGACGTACATATACAAAGCCACAAGCTATTCCCATCAAACTGCCAGATGCTCAAATAACCACATTTAGGCCTTCTATGCGAATTTCGCGAAACAAAGTCACGATTAGGGAACTAGAGTTTTGGTTAGTAAGTTTCACTATTTTACTTGATATAAAATTCAAAAATAGAAGAGCAGTTTTACGAGATTATAATATTAATTTGCAGACCATATTGTTAGTACTGGTTGGATATACTGGAAATTATGCTAAGAAACAAAGTAACTTAGTAAATCTGGCTATCGCAAAATGTAGGATATTATGGCGTAAGGAGTAATGAAGTTGGATTGCTAAAAAATATTTGTAGCACACGGAGGTAAATTAAAATTTGTAAATTCCTATTCAAAATCTCTTATCCATTGTTGTAACTTTGAGACATTACAGTGAAAATTAATTTGATATTCTTTATTCATAAAAGCAACTGGAGACAGTTCTATGCAGAATGAACAATTAACATGCAACACAAATGTTTTGGGAGAAAGGCTTCTTAGACCTTTGCTGTCATGTGTTTTTTATTCAAACAACATTGGATCCATAATGAATAAACTTGAAATATTGATTTGTCAATTGCTCATCTTAGGCCAGTTACATGGATGCCTTTTAATTGATAGTATAACTCAGTCAAATCCAGTAGACTCGAAAAACCAATACTTGAATAACATGTAAGTTTACTGGGTGCTAACTTTTTCTGAAGGTAATTTAGTGGGTGTAATTGATGTTTTAATTTAAACACTCTATGGCCTTAAGATGGGAAGTAAAGTTTAATTACAAACGCTTGATGAAACTGTGTACGGTAAAATAGAGAAAACTATCCAACCACTGACTACCAAGTTACAGGAGATTCTTCAAAACATTTTAGGAATAATCTACATAAAGAAACAACAGGATGAAAAGCTCATCCTGGATCCACATGCCATCTATTTTAAACAATTAATGAAGTGACCAACTTTATGCTCGACTGACTGAATTCAGCAACCTGATTCGAATTTAATACTAGTGGGAGGGGAAATCTTACTGTTTATTCGCTGGGATGCAAATGTAGATTATATTTGTGTTATAGGTAACAAAATTGTTGCTGTAAACTCACTTATTCCACACCACTTATTAAGTTTTTGCCATTCAGTTTTACTTTCTCCTTTTCTTAATATTCACCCAGTTTCTTTTTCAGTTAATTCATCGATAAGTTCGAGCAGTTCATCTGCTGGTCAGCTAGCTAATCTTTTACTATTGATTTGAAAAAAGTGCTGTGGTCAAAACTTATATGGATTTTCTAACACACTAAGTTTAAAACCTATACTAGATATTAAAGAAAGTGGAGTATTGTTAGCAGATTTATGATACGTTAGTGTATACAATCTTACGCAGTAACTAATACTATTGGTTTGTTTTACTTTGAATTTCATAGCTTAGAATATATACGATGCCATCTGAATGCACCACTAAACTTAAGACTTCTAGGGATACGTGCAATCCGTCGAATTTTACAGTACCGTTTTATATTAATTTGCCAGATGACTGATAAGTATAATTCGCTGATAAATGAAAATGCACTTTCGTTTGTAACATGGGTTGATCAATTACCTTTACCAAATATCATCAAACAACATATTCTTTTAAATCCAATGACCTTAAGAACTAGTTGAACAAACAACTTTGCCCTTATTTTTTTCTTTGGTTCGTGCATTTATTTTCGATTTTTTAAAACTTATTATTAAGTAAAGAAGGTTTTTATGTTTTCGATAAAAATGCAATAGACATATGTACAGAATAAAACTGAAATAAATTTATGTTCTGGTGTTCTTATAACTTCTGGTTAGTCTCCACATGATAGAAATTGATAGTACCAGATTGTGAATCTAAAGATAAAGTTAAGTGTAGATCATAAGTGTTAGAATATAATCTGCTTACTTGTATATTCATGTATACTTTAAATACTGTGTAAATAGTATGAAAAGTACACTTAACCTTCGTACACAAACAATCCTTGCGAAACATTGATTTAAGCGGTTGAAATGTATTAAGCATGCTGAGTCGCTAGCTAATTTGACCGTGCTGCACTAAAATAAGAATCGGTTGGTGTAATGCTAAATACGACTAGACCAATACATGATACTAATCGGTGAGGCTACTTACCCAGTGTATGTAGTTCGCAAAAATACTTTGGCCAATATCCTGCTGATAAATAACTTCTATGCACAGCTGAACCCAGTACGTAAACTAAATAGCTAATTCTCACAAAACAACGTGATACTTTGATTCGAATGTTCTTTGATGTTCTAAGTTTATTTAGGCGAAAGGTTATAAACATCCCAAATCGCATAAGTTCTACTAATAATAAATCCTATGGATATATTTTGCATACCTACTTTATACGTAATACTTCCTAACGTATACAGAAACTCTTTACTATCTAAACGATATGGAGTTACTGACTGGTCGAAAGTTGAATGCTAACACCGAATGCAAATACTGAAACCACGTATACCATTCGAACTGGCTTCCTTCAACGTTTGCACACTAATGCAGGTCGGACAACAGATAGGAGTGGCTATGTCTTTAGAATGTCTCATTATCGATGTCTGTTTTTTGTCCGAGACCCGTGCTCAAGACTAATGAAGTCCTACAAATTCTCTCTCCATCTGTTACTTCGAAAACCTTGTTTTAGGTTCGTTTGTCCGGGGGCGCTGTGGCATCTCCATCCAGTTTAGCTGGCGTTGGTTTCGCACTAAACGCTAGAGCTGAGGCAGCACTAATCTATTGGATCCCCATTAACAGTCGATTATGTGCTGTTAGATTAGAAAGCTCCATCAAAGTAAGAAAAAAATAGGTGTGCGGAACGATGTCTTTTCATCATCTCCACTTACACTCTGACAGATTGCAGCCCGGATGAGACCATGGATGAGTTTTACTACCAGTTAATAGTTCTTCAACAGAAGATGCTCTCGACGGGTATTGTAGTACTAGCCAAGAGACTTGAATGCTCAGGTCGGGCATCTGGGTACAGAAGAGAGTTGTTTAGGTGGTTGATGCGGACTTGTTGGTTGCATGTCAGATAACGGTTACTGTTTATTGCAAATTCGCGCAGACTACGACCTGTTTCTGACTAACACTAACTTTCAGCACAGTTGTCCTGGCGTCTTCGCATCACATCGCGTTCAACTACCGCTGGCGTGGTTGTGTACAAAACTGCCACTCCTTTTGAAGTACCTATCTGGACTCGGATCATGTCCTTGTTTGCACTAATCTTACCTTACATTTCAGTGGCCAACAAATTCATCGTCCTAAACGGATCGATGTCAATAAATTGATTGCAGCTCCTGTTGCAACAAATTATCAAACCGAGCTGAGTTCAAGGCTAGCTATCAGCCAACCGAAAAGTATAGATGTGTGTTGGCTGAAATTGCATGACGCCATGAAGAAGACTAGTAAATTCACTTGCGGCTTTGCAAAACGTCCTGCCTACAAGCACAGGGTTTCTACAGGCTTCTTACAACTCATTGAAGCACGTTGGCCTACTCCGGGTGACCGTGAGTTTGACCATAAATGAAGACTGTTACGTAATGAAGTCTTGCAAAGCTTGTGTAAGGTCATAGAAGCCTGGTGGTTGGAGCGTATCAATGAGTTGGAAACAGTAATTACTTCCGGTCACTGCCGGAAGCTCTTTCAACTCATCTTAGTCACTGGCAGCAAGAGGTCTGGTGTGACTGAAACAATCTGTAAAGCTGACGAGATGTCAATCATTAACATCCACCGGCGTCTTGAACGATGGGCAGTTTTTCGAGGAGAAGTACAATTGGTCTGCTGCTCCGGCGACATCGATCACACTGTTTTACCCTTCATGGTATGTTACGACTAATCCATCTAATAAGGCAGAACTCTGCAAGGAACTCCAACTTTGAAGCTCTACAAATGACCAGAACCAGACGACTTACCTCCGGTCCATCTTAAAGATGTTGGCGACTTTGTGGTTGAGTAACTAACTGAGTTGTCTACAAAAATATGGTAATTAGTGTTCTAACACTGCAATGAGTTGTTCCTATCTTTAAAAAGGGTTCAATTTGTTTTTGCAACGACTATCGGGGGATGCGTCTATTTTAATCAGCTTTGAGCCGAGCTTTAGCTGTATGAGAGCTAATTATACTATGCAGAAAGCCAATGTAGGTAAACTGGATTTTGTGCTGGCGACCGAGTAGATGGAAGTAGCGTACTTTTACCATTATAGATGAATAAACTAAGATAGCAATCCACTAGGTAGTGTGGAACTTTATCATCAGTAAGGCTTGTTTCCACACAAAAAAGAATTAGATTTCCGAGAGTACTGTGTGTGTGACAGGAGTTTACAAGAGCTTACAAAATTAATTCTTCGAATGTCAAACTATAAAAGTAGTCGCATGACCATTAAGCAGCTTAAAAACTTACCATATGACGCCGAAAGGGTGTATGCCTCACCCTGGTAAACGAATTCGATGATAAAGGTTGGTTCATCTGCATAGCCACGAATAAATATTCCATTGTACAAGCACCACATTATTAAGTCATGGGTTGAAGCACCAGATCCCATTCCTTTTACATTAAAACAAAGCATCCAGTGAGATGTGTTTCATAAGAATTGAAGTGTAAGTTTGTAAAAATTCTTTCTATGTAATTAAATTTCATTTTCATTGGAAATAGTTTAAATCCCCGTATTTCTTACCAAAGTATAAAATGTTTCAGCTATTCATTTTACTTTCACAAAATTCAAGCAATAAACATTTATAACCAACTTCCTAAAGGTTAAGGAAGAAGCGAATGCAACAACTTTTTGTTTCATAGAACGTCTCAAACTATTCACACTACTTAGGTTTAATAAGTTTAGTGTACTCGGGCTAAAAAATTATATCTGGAGTCTGGTATATTTCCCTTAGTGACCAATTAAAGAATGAACAAGAAAGTCAAGGTCATAACACTCTTTAAAAGGTGATAAACATGAGGCAATCCAACGCTAAGTTTTTTTTTGAAAGAATCATATTCTCATCGTACTTCAAACAGATTAATCCGTTAGGAACTGCAACTGAGAAAACTAGTTTTGGGGGCACTTGTAGTACAGAATAAGAATGTGATAAGTAGAGATTTTACACTAGAACAACCTTAATATGAGAATGAAAATAGAACTCATTTTTACAGTGTAAGAAATTCAGGAATAAAGTGATTATCGCAAACCCTGACAAAACCAAAATCTCGCAAATTCTCACAAGCTTTCCGCTTACCTTCTACACAGATAGTTGTTTGTTGGGATTCAGGCTGGTTGGCAAATGCAGCTAAGTGAGCTACTAATGATTCTGATTCATCGTTGTCAAGATCTTCGTCGTCATCTTCATTATCTATAGTATGCGTAGGGCTTAGTCGTCGACCTCCTGTTTGACACCCATTAGTGCTAGTTTGAAAAAACCTATCATTATTAACGATTGTCTTGTTGAATTCTGACCTCAGGTTTCTGTTATTTGGACTCTTTTCCAAGCGTTGAAGTGATGAAGCATCTAACTCCGATTCAATATTTACGTTAGAGCTAACAAGTGGAAAATTGTAAACCATAATTAAGTTCAATAGATTAATGTAAATCTCCAATAAATTTGAAGCTTCTTGATACTTTAAAACTGTGTCACTTACTTATCTGCATTTAATGTTTCGTTGATTACATTTTCTGGCAAAGCGACTAACGCGTCCATTACTTGTGCCATCAAAGTTGGGTTATTCACCTGTTCACCTGTGTCATTCAAAATGACTAGACCACTGGAACCGTCTTCATTAGACTGATGATGAACATAAAGGGTTTCACCATCCGGAGTTTCAACTATCATCTGATAATGAAAATTATATTTATTTATTTGAAATATGTACGAAAAAGTTGGATGTCATGATTCTCAAATAATAAACTACACACTACATGAAAGAGTAGGACACTTCCTTAATTTTACTTTGTCCAATGAAAATATGAGTCAAGTATATTTTGAGCACCGTACACTTTCGAAATAGTGAACACAAATACCCACCCCACTACTGGCTACTAACACTATTATCCATTACCGATTATAAATTATATATGACTACACAAAACAATATAAAATCCATGCAAAGAGCTTAAGCACTAACAGACGCTCACCCATTTACGGTCTATAACTAACAATGAGGGAATGAAAATCTTGACGTCAATTTTTTCTTCGGGTCAGTCAGCTACAACGTAGGACCAGGCACATATATGCATCGGTCCAAGTTGTCATACCTCATTAACACAACAAAATGGACACTGGATTCATAAAAGTAGTTAATTCAGAGGTGGTAATATATAAAAAGAAAGATTGCAATAAGGATATAGTACAGGAAGAAATAATTAGTTCGTAGAAAGAAAGATATGAAGCAATTTTAATCTCTTAGTTTAAGGGAAGATAGAGAGTGTATACACCGACGCCATTGTGATCGATTCTGAGCCATGTCACCAAGAGTCTCCAACCATTGGTTACAATAGTCACGCGGACCCCAACCAAGTAGTCTGCATCTACCAACATGGCTCGGACTACAAGTTAGTGACTTCAAGCACTGATGCTACGTTTTGGTTTGGCCGCCCCTAACTTTCTTCCAACCATCTCCAACACCGGTTAGCATTGCACGTCGTGGTAATCGGTGTTCGGGCATACGTAACACGTGGCCCAACCATCTCAGTCGATGAAGATTCACAACCTCATCAACTGATTTACCATTATTCCCTAATACCCTGTGTCGAACCTCACTATTACTTACCCGGTGATCCCAGCAGACGCCAGCAATATTTCTGAGGCATCTGTGGTCAAATACTAGTAGCTTACTAGTGTCTTCTACTCTTAATGGCCATGTTTCGCTGCCGTAAATTAAAACAGAACAGACTGCCGCGCAGTATAGGTGATGTAGCATAGGTGACGTAAGTTGGCAAAAGCCAAGCGAGCTTTTCGAATCCGTGCTGAGATTTCGTCAGACACCAACCCATTAGAGCTGATCAGACTTCCAAGATAAGTGAAGTTGTCAACGCGTTCGACTACTTCACTCCCTATCCTTAGTTCAGGTGTTGACGCAGACCAATCCTGAAGCAACAACTTGCCATTAGAGGGGAAGAAGCGCATTCAAAACATTCTGGCATTGTTGCTTAGTGCTACCAAATGACTGGATTTTATCAACGTCTTTGCCAAACAGGACTGTGTCGTCTGTGTATTTCAAGTCGATAAGTGGACCTCCTGGAGGGAGATCATTGCCCGAAAAGTCAGTCGATGAGAATGTTATTTCCATCAGTAGGTCTATGATGAAGTTAAACAAAAATGGAGAAAGTGGACAGCCTTGGCAGACACCACTTGATGTTGCAAAAACAGGTGACAGTTCTCCATAAGCTCTGACTCGACTGGTAGTGTTCGAGTAAAGAGCCTTCACAAGGTTTATGTACTTCTGAGGTACACATTTCAATGACAGACACTGCCACAGAATCTCGCGGTCTACCGAATCAAATGCTGCTTTTAAGTCAAGAAAGACCACCATTGTCGGACGTCGATAAGTATGCCTATGTTCTAGAACTTGACGAATGGTGAAAATGTGGTCGATGCAGCCACGACCAGGTCTGAAGCCAGCTTGATTCTCTCGTGTTTCCAGTTCACGAGTCTTAGTTAAGCGTCTGATAATTATCGGGGCTAGTATTTTAGGTACTATATTAGTTAAGCTAATTCCTCTATGGTTGTCACAGGATGATTTTGACTCTTTCTTATATGTTGGGACGATAAGTGATTGTGACCAGTCAGATAGAATAACGTCTAACTCCCAGATCTTAGCTAAAATATTAGTCAACCTAATCGCTACAATTGGACCACCATTCTTAAAGACCTCTGGAGCCAATCCATCTGGATCAGCTGCCCTTCCTCGTTTCAGATCAACTATAGCCTTTTGAACTTCTGCTAGAGCTGGGGGACCTGCTTCAATGTTCCATTCACACTGTCTGGGAATGGTGGGTAGTTGTAGAGTAGCTGAAGACCAGCTGAATCGCTCCTTAAAATTTTCTGCCCATCGTCCTAAACTTCTGGACCGGGAGCAGATAAGTGGCGTATTTTTCTGAATTAGTCTCACTTACACTTGACTTCTTAATTTGAGTTTCTTTCATTAGTCCGAAAAGCTGTCTTGCGTTACCTACAATCGCTGCCTTTTCCGTCTCTTTTGCTTTCGTTGCCCACCACTGCCCACAGTCGTTCCTTAGACTTTTGTTTAACCTAGATCTGATTTGTTTTCGTTCTTCATCGTGTTCAGAGCCCGATGGGACGAGTTTACGAGAATCCATCAGTGCAACAGACCTAGAGGAAATCCATTGGTTCTTTGTAACCCTTTGGTTTAAATCACTAACAGATGTCACTGCTGTTTCCACAGCTGCTTTTATATCTTTCCAAGCAACATATGGGTCAGCCTCGTTTTCAGAACTACCTAATTGTGACCTCAGTTGTTCCTGGAACCTACTTTTTGTTTTCTCATTACTCAATTCAATTCTAATGGGTCTTTTTACTGTGGATTTTCCGCGTACAGTGAGGTGCAAGCAGATGTGTGCCCGTATTAGAGGATGGTCGGAGTCCAAGCAGGTATTCCAGAATGAGCAACAATCTTCTATCGAGCCTCTCCAACGAAGACTGATGTCAATATAGTCTATTTGAGTCCATCGTTGGTTTGGTGCAGGAGGTCGCCATGTTAGACGGTGTCTCTCCTTATGCTCAAAATGTGTTTGCTAAAAATAAACGATTGTCTGAGCATAGTTGCTGCAGACGATCACCATTATCTGTTTGCTGAGCCGGAATACTGAAATACCCACCTAAATGCCTTTCTGTTTGGTTTAAACTACCTATCTAGGCATTAAAGTCACCTGCTACGAGTACTATGTCTGAACGCTTAGCTTTCTGAAGAAGTTCATATAGCTTTCTGTAAAATTCATCTTTCACATCATCTGAGCTGCAGTCAGTGGGAGCGTAGGCAGAAACGACAAAAAGGCAACGATGTGTGTCCCTATCCTTCCGAGTTCTTACGGAGCCGTTTAGCCGAACAGCACATAAACGACTGTTAACGGGGATCCACTCTAACAGTGCTTATTCCGCTCTCATGCTTAGTGCTATGCCTACACCTGCCAGTCCACGAGAGCTGGCCATCGGGTCGCCAGATACATGGAGGGTGTATCTCATCGGCTCTCCGTTTTGGCGAGGTGAGGTGAAGTGAAGTGAATGACCATACTAGGATTCTGTATGTGTTTCGGAGACACAACATACATCAATGGTAGGAGATCCCAGGGTTCTAGCCAAGGAAGCCTGTTGACCGATTTGACACAGTGTGTGTACGTTGAAGGCTCCAATGTGTAGTTTGGAGCGGGGTTTCAGTAGACCTGGGACAGTTTTTTGAGCATTAGAATCGTTGGCTATGGTGACACTTGAAGAGGAAGCCGTAAAAGGAAGTTTAGAGGTGAAAGTCGATGTAGGAGGAATAATAGGAAGTGAAGACGGAGGTTGATTATGAATACAGTGGTCTTGAGTGCTGTTAGAGGTATGAGGGCGGTTATCACTTCCCAGACGCCCACTCCGTGGAAGGGTTCTTCTGGAGGTACCTGAAATATGAAATTGGGTTAGAGGTGGTCTTAGTGACCCGAGAGCGTGACCGCAGTGCCCAAGGGACAACTGCTTGAGGTCGGTCACACACGATCTTATTATGGGTAATCATCGTATTAGCTCCATACTTGTTGAGACATTACTACTGGAGACGGATGTTCGTGTGATAAGGCGAGGTGTGCATTTTTAGGGTCGACCTTTTCTAACCCCACCCCTTCTTGTGCGGCTGATCATCTGGATCTTCAAGCTGACTTAGACGATTTAGTTAGATGGGCTCGAGAGTGGGGCTTAGAAATCAATGCTAGGAAGGGTGTGCTAATGCACATTGGTCACAGTTAGCAGTACGACTTCGCCTTCAGACTTTGGGTTTGTTGCTTTTAGTCTTACCGCTCATCAACCAACCTGTCTGACATGGTCGGACCTTGAGGAACAGTTGTTCCAGCCAGTATAGCTCGATTGATTCATCATGATAGGCAAGCCCGACCACCACGTCAAGGTAGCAACAATGGTCGGGTTTCCTTTGGGTAGTGATAGTGACTTTCAAATATTGGAGTAAAAAATCTGTCAAGAAAATCAGTAGAAAGAGCATCCTATTGACAACTTGTATAAGCAATGTCAGACATCAAAGCCACATTAAAATTTGTTTAGGGGTCGAAAACTTGTTCAGTTTACTAGATCAATGAAATTTTGGGAACAATTTACAAGCTGTCACTCTTATTTTCCGTTTTTAGGGTTGAAAACCGTTACTGTACCCAAATCAGATCCTAATGACACATTTTTGAACCAAGGTATAACCACCACTATTGTGAGAGCTATGGATGACGCAGCTATTGAAGTCGAGGTGACACTAGCGAGACACTGATTCGAATTACAGTGCTAAGCTAACAAACTATCGTTCTGCATCCATTAAAACACAAACCTTACAGATATCAAACTTTTTATTTGAACACCAACACAACTCTGTGAAGAAGTGAGGCCTCATTAAACGAAATCACAAGGTTTTGTACTAAGAAACTAACAATGGAGTGATGTTGGTGACGAACTGAATTTAGCTCGAGATTTACTGCCACCTATAATGATGAAGAATATGGTGAACGTATTCCAGCGTGGAGTAAGGATTGATACAGCTGTCTGGACCACTACACACTACACTTCATACAACCTACTACCAGGCCAGTTATCATTAACATAGAGCCCGATACGAATGTGCACTACCCAAGGTTCTCAAACTAAATCACCAAAACGATATGAAAATACGATGAATAGCGAAATAATAGTAGTATCAATAGGTAAGGCAGATTAAACATTAGAGAATATAATTCCAAAGTGGATAGATTGGGTGAATAAAAAGTATGAAATAGAGTAGAAAAATAAGACTGAGGGGAAAATAAAGGGAATGAGTCTGCACCATTGTGATCAGTACTAAGCCATATCAGCCAATGCTCATAACCACTGATTACGGTTATTACACCGATCATATCGAGTAATTTGCGCCTAATGACACCGGTTCCGTCCAACAAACAATGACTGCAGAGATTGATTCTGTCCTGCTTTGGGGGCCGCTAACTTCCTTTCAAACTAATCATACATCAACGAACATTGTTTGTCGTGGCAGACGGTGGTTCAACATACATACCAAAAGCCACAACCACCCAAGTCGATAAAGATTTACCATCTTTACCTAGTGTCCTGCATTTAAACCACCTGGACTGATAAGACTTTCAAGATAAATGAAGTGTTCAACATTCTCAGCCTAGGTGTCAAAGCAACACTTTGGACTTACAGGGAGAAATACATCTCAAACGCGCTTATATTGTTATCTAGGACGACGGAGAAACTGCAAGTTGTCAGTATCTGCACTAAAAAGAACTACATCATCTGTGTAGTTGGAGTCCACTAGTGAATCATTTGTTAGGAGATCGATCCCAGAAAAGTCAGACAAATAAAGCGTTATCTCTTTCAGAGATTTCCTATGACGAAGTTAAATAAAAATGGGGTTGTGCAACCTTGATGAACACCATTTGAAGTTACCAATTCTGATGATAGTTCGATACAATCTCTGATCTCACTAATAGTGTTCTGGTAGAAATCCTTTAAGTAGACGATAAACTTCTTTAGCAAGTCTTTCTATGACAGAAATCACTACAAAACATGTAGGTCTACAGAGTGGGACACCATCTTCAAGTCAGAACATACTGTTATGACAAGGTGTCGGTAAGTAGGCCTGTTCTAGAAACTAAAGAAGAGGTGTGCGACCCACACATGCACGCCTAGACGTGTAACCAGCCCAGTTTTCCTGAATTTGTCATACACGAGCCCTAGTCAAGCACTAAACGATTATTGAGAATAAAACTCAACACAATATATTGGTCAAACAAATACCCCAATGGTTACCACAAAATCTCAATCCTTTTTTATACACTGGAAAGACCAGTCATCAAGACAACTTGGATGGGATTATGTCCACTCTTCAGACTTTTGCCAAAATTTGGCCACCATCTTAAAGGATATCCAGACTTCGTCCACCAGGTTCCCCCAACCCCTCTTGATTCAGATTAGAGGGTCTTCCCGATATCGGTAGGTGTTGGTGGCTCGTGTCGATCACCCATTTATCTAGGAATAGTATATAAATACAGTGTAAATAGCAAGCAAACTGTTAATCGCAGTATCCTGGTCATTCTATCAACCTTCTAGAGGGGAGAGTAGATTACGGTCCCGTCTCTTTCGGGGATAATTCCATCAATACTTGACTTTTTAAAATGTTTCTCGGACTGGTTTGAAAAATTATCTTGTGTTTCCTGTCGCCAGAACTGTTCCATCTCTTGCTTTCATCACCTATCACAACTCACGATTATTGCGTACACTATATGTCCGTCAACGTTTAAGTTGTCTTTGGTTGCCGCGTTTTGAACCTGATGTGATGAGTTTCCGAGTTCCTGTCAATTCAGCAGACCACCAAAACCTAATGGTCCTTCACAACCTTTTGGTTTAAATGATTGATAGATAACAATACTATTTTCACGGCTATTCGAATACCATGGTAGACTAGAGAGGGACTATTACCTTCATGGTTTACTAAGCAGATAGTAGTAGTAGTAGTAGTACAATATAAAAAGCAAGCATTTCAGCGAAAATTTAAGGGTGAAAATAAAGATCACACAGCTTACAACATCTCTTGGACAATCTTCATCCAAAGGCAATAAAATATCACCAGATAAATTTGGTTTATTTTTAATATTCGGAATAGAATTTGTATTATCTGCCTGTGTTGACTGTGATAATGAATAAGGAGTGGTTTGGGCTTCCGAATTTTCGCCATGAAGACTGACATTTGTATTTTCACTTAATTCAGTTTTCCATATTCGTTTATTAGAACCACTGTGACCACTTTTTACTTTCGTAAGAGTTGTAATTTTTTCATCTTCATTAGAAGCATCACCACCATTTGAGAATGTTTCAGAGATATCAGAGTCTTGTATGTTGGAAGACTCCTCAACCGTTGTCGCGGTGACAGTCACCTCATCAGCTGGAGGAGCAGCTGGAACTAACGTCTCTTCTTCCGTTAAGATGTATGCGTTAGCACCTACTATATCCCCATTCGTGGCAGCCATACGACCGACTGACGATACTAAATCATACTGAGTATTCTGTAGAGATTTCGAAAGTTGATGAAAAAAAATGTTGAGATGAACAATATACCATTTTTGTACGGTATAGGTTATCATCCATTTATAGAAGATAAAGTAACTTAAAGTAAATTGTATGCTTTAGATTCTTTCTAGTTACAGACAACTATCCTGTTATCTTCTAGAAAGGATAATAATCCTACACTTGAGTTCATCTACTAATGTCAATGTAGCATTCAGCTTATTAACTGATAGAAAATCATTAGGTGTGTTAGTCTACAAAATTCACCAACTTACCGCCTAGAATGTGATGAGCTTATTCCAGAGTTATCACAGTGAAACATTACGATTTGCACGAGTGTTTTGCAATTCAGATCAATCTTTTAGTAACATGTACTTCCTGTTAGTATAATAATCAGTGACATGTAAATGAAATCACGATATTTGAACTATAATATTTACCAAAATGTCTCCTAATTGGCAATGTAAAAACCGAATATAAACTTTGCATAGTTTCAGAAAAGACAGATACGTATATGACTTACTAACATAGCATCCCGAGCATCATCGTGTTGCTTACATTCAGCTATATCTAAAGGAGTCATTTCGAATTTGTTCTGGAGATGTGCGTCAGCTCCAAAACGCATCAACATTTGAACAACAGGTGTATGACCTCTTTCGGCTGCCCAGTGTAGTGCTGTCATACGTAACATATCCTTAGCACTAAGATCCGCTCCATTACGTAACAGAAGCTCCACAATATCTGCGTGACCCTCTTGAGCAGCTAAATGGAGAGGAGTACGATCAACTTTAGTCCGAGCGTCCCTGCTAATACCAGCACGTAGGAGCGCTTCACATGAACTAAGATGTCCATTCATAGCAGCGAAATGGAGAGGAGATATTCCCAACTATAAAGAAGTAATGAAAATTATAGCAAGCACAAAAAAAGAGAATTAAACGAAGAAAATTCTCTTTCCGGCGAAATCATTTGTTTACGCCGTACATTCGTATTTATAGTTGGGTTTTCTTTGCTGAATCCTCTTTATTTTTATTCAATGACACAATGGGTTATTTTAGTTCTATATATGCTAACAACCTGATACTATGAAATACAATTCCCAGTCTTGAGAAATAACAATGATGAATACAAATAGATTTTATCATCTGAATCAAAAAGTAAGCCTTTTTATATAAAACATACGGATCGAGAACCGTGTATAAATTTTGTGTTTTTGGGAACCCATAGAGAATTCACTTGTGGTTATCCCCAGAACCTTATCTGACAATTTGATAAATCAGGACGATTAATTTTGATATCTGTGGAAAGGCGATAATGATTGGCTGTTTGCTTAGTCAGACTTGTAGGTTTTCTGACAGGCGTTAAATGCGCTATATATTCTCTTATCCTTATTATTACTGGACTGTTGTAGGTTTTTGGTGTGGAAATATATTTACATTCTAGTCAGGCTAATCACGTACTCTCGATCTGAGTTGTTTTGAAGTCCTGTAGAATAAACATTTGGGGGGAATCTAGTGTAGATATTCGTTCAAGACAGATTAATGTCCCATTCGTGTAGACGAGGAAAATCCGCGCGTTCTAACAAATTTATATTAGCACGATGAGAAAATCAACAAAATGAGTAGAATATAAGGTTTTGAGAGAAATGATCACTTTGTAATTTATATAGCCAGAGGACCATCGAAACAACGGAGTAATGGGTAGTTATTTCTTTCCAGTATGAGACTCCTCAGAAGTCTGTACACACGAGGTTATGGCGAACTGTTGTCCGAATGGGTAACTTTAAATGGTGTTCGTCAGGGCTGTTTACTTTTCCCATTTTAGAGATAACACTTTAATCAGCTGACTTTTCAGGGGTTTATCTTTAACCAGGCGATTCGCTCGTTGACGATATAGTTCTGTTTGTTGAAGACGCTGACAAAATGCAATCTTCCGACCAACTTAAGTAAAAATGGAAGTTTGGTTGAGATTCGTCTCTCTCTCCAAATGCAAAATGCTGCTTTAAAACTCGTTTGTGTTATCGCCTAAATTTATGATTGGGTGTGAAGTAGCTGGGTGTGTCAACTGCCCCACTTATCTTAAAAATTTCATCAGTCCTTGCGGGCTGGTTTATGAAGAAACCTTGGCACAGATTCAGAAAGCTCAGTTTGCTTTTGCCAACATGAGCCACTTGTGGAGTACGTGAGATATCCATCTACCAACCAAAGAACAAGTTTACTGTGAAACAGTTTATGGGTGTGAAAAACCGCCCTTAGCAATATAGAATATTCGTGGGTTACCAGTATTCAACCATAGGTGTCTCCGAAGCATTGCTCGTGTATTGCACCTACTAAGCAATGGCGGAATTGGGAATAGGGTACTAGATAGGGATGGCAAATAGATTGAGGAGGTAGAAGCATCAGCATAAAGAGTGCATCTCTGTTGATTCCCTAAGCAAGATTAGAGAATGGAAGAACAACACACCAATCAACAACAGCTGAACAAAAGCAGAGAAAGCCAAAGTAAAGGCCGAATACACAGAGGAAAACAAATGACTGAAGAGGAGGATTAGGGCCGATAAACGGAAATACATGGAAGACCTAGCAATGACAGCAGAAAAAGCTGCAAGAGATGGAAATTTAAAACAACTATACGGAACAACAAAGCTATCAGGAAAATATGGTACACTAAAACGACCAGCCAAGAACAAAAAAGGCAAACCAACCACAGATCAAAGAACGAAGGAAAAGGTTGCTAGGGGATTTTGAAGAGTTCTCCGGCAGACCGGGTCAGCTGAGCACACTGGACATCGAAGGAGTATCTACAGACCTACCTGCAAATGTTACCGCACCAACAATCAAGGAGATCAGCCTGGTTATGAGACAAATCAAGGATGGCAAAGCAGAAGGACCAGATGGCATACCAGCTGAGGCACTTAATTTAGACTTAGAAGTAACTACGAAGATGCTCCATATTCTCTTTGGAAAGATTTAGGATGAAAAACTGTTATATCCTAGCGAAGATTAAATTACGAGTAACTTCTGAGACCCATAATGGACTAATATTATCTATACATCCTTATGGTATAACTATTCAGTAATTAGATTGTATATATTTATGTTCATCTTATTATAAGCTTCATTTTAACCTATAGATTATTATTGTACGATTTACTGTTCTTAAGTTATACTCTGTTTATTAATTACTGTATCCCACGTTCACAGCCACTTCTGGCTTTATTGTGTATAAATGTTATTTCCTATTTTATAGTGCGTTGCGGTCTGTTTGGTTGATATATAAACCCAGTATTTCTGAAATAAATGATTCTCATAGTAGAAGCTGTATTAGTGTTCTGGACTCAACTGGAACGGCTAGGTGAGCAAGGGACCAATAAGGACTCTAGGCTGCTCACACTGGTCGAACGTCATTGGTTTAGCACAGTGTGAAGATTGTATTTCGATCGGCGGGTAAATCACGTGATAACCAGCCGAACTTAAAGTCACAACAAAAACAAGTATCGACAGACTAGATAGAAGGATACCTCATTAAAATACTAAAGAAAGGAGATCTTAGTAAACGTGAGAACCATAGAGGCATTAAACCACTGACCAGTCCCAGGAAAAGTTTTCAACACAGTGTTGTTGAGCTGAAAGGAAAATTCAGCAGGTGCCCAACTTCGAGATAAACAGGATGGATTCCGTAGGGATAGATCGTGTGTCAATTAAATCGCTACAATACGGAATATTGTTGAACAACCGGTTGGATGAACCTCGTCACTATACATCAACTTCCTTGACTGTGAGAAAGTATTGGACAGTACAGATGGCAGAACCTTAAAGCATCTTGTTCGACACTACGGTGTACCTAAGAAGATTGTAACCGTCATACGGGATTCATACGACGAAATACACTGCAGATTCGTGTACAGAGGACAACTAATAGATCCATTCCAAGTGAGGACCTGAGTCAGATAAGGCTGTTTCCTCTCCCCCTTTCGCAGATAACCTAGCTCTTCTATTCCATAAAGACCAACAAATGCAGGTGAATACAGCCAGTTTAGTGGCAGCCTGTGCAGCAGTAGGCTTCAACATACACAAAGGGAAAAACAAGATTCTCAAATACAACACAGAGAACACCAACCTAATCTCACTTGATGGAGAAGCTCTGGAAGAGGTCAGAACTTTTACATATCTGGGTAGCATCATCGATAAACAAGGATAATCCGATGCAGACGTAAAAGCAAGGATAACCAAGTAAGGACAGCATTCCTACAACTGAAGAACATATGGAAATCAAAACAGATGTCTGTAAGTCGACATCCAAGTCAGAATCTTCAATAAGAAACGTCAAGACAGTTCTACTGTACGGAGCTGAAACGCGGAGAACTACTTCAACCAGCATCAAAAAGGTACAAGTATTTATAAACAACTGTCTGCGCAAGATACTCAACATCCATTGACCAGATACCATCAGCAACAGCCTTCTGTGGGAGAGAACAAACCAGCTTCCAGCTGAAGAGAAAATTAGAAAAAAAATGTTGGAGGTGGATAGGATATACATTGCGAGAATCATCGAACTGCATCAGAAATCAAGCCCTGGCTTGGAATTCTCAAATAAAAAAGAAAAGAGGGAGACCAAAGAACATATGGTGCTGAGAATTGGAGGTAGACATCAAAATAATTGATAGCACCTTTCAACAATTGGAAAGGAGCTCAAGATAGAATAGGTTAGAGACTCCTGATCAACAGCTTATGATCCACGAGAAGCAACAGAAGTAAGTATATTAGGATGTTAGGTGCTGAATAAACCAAGCCTGACGTTTTAATTTATAGAAGCCCATGTCACGGAACATGCATAAATGCTAGAAATACATAGTTCTACTGTTCAATTACAACTTTCAGTCAGTCAGCTACAACGTAGGATCAGGCGCATATATGCATCGGTTCAAGTTGCTATACCTCATTAGCACAAAAAGAACACCAATCATGACTTTGTGAACAAGCCAAATAACTTACCCAGTCAGTAGTAAACGGTGCTCCATTATTTATTAAATTCTTGACTTCCTCGACATCTCCGTTTTTTGCGGCATCCAGTAAACGCTTGCCAAGATCAACCAATGAAAAGGCTTGTGAGACATGAGAAAAAAGTCTTGGGTCGTTATGTGCCAATGGTATAATATATTGATTCATGATCTGCAAAAGTTAAGTATATCACAATGTATACGGATAAAAAAATGCAATACACACAAGATTTCTTTAAAAGTAGTTGAAAATGGAGAAACTTGTATACTTCAGAATCCCAAGTCTATAATTACATACTGTACTGACACTCGATTCTAAGAGAATCAATCAAATTTCTAAAATATGATCATACGCTTATTCTAGACGAAACTTTTATAATTACAGAAGTACAAACGAGCATAGCTGGTACTATTTATCATGAGAAAAAATTGATGAGGCGATACTGAAGTGGAAAGAACCTAGAGCTACATATTTATAAATACATGAAAACCCTATTTTACTGTCTTGTTTTCTGATATACGTCCATTTGGGGATTTCGGTCAGTAATTCGGTACCATGATCAGATATCAATTTGTCATTTCATATTATTGCATTCTATTTACTGTTCATCAAATTATCGAATTCCCCTTTATAACAGTGAGGTTGAGGATAAAAATCTACTGTTAAAATGTCTATTACAGTGAATGAGTGGAAATCAATATTCATTCAGTCAGTGCTGTCAAAATATTTCTAAATAAATTGAGATCTTAACTCCACCAACAAATCCTTTATCCAGAATAAAATCCAGTTCAAAGACAACTTATCACAGGAAATCTCAATTCATCCAATAATACAGTAATTACAAGCAACGTTACAATTGAGCCAATGAAGTTTGAAGTCCCCGGTGATTCAGATCTAGTTGAAGCCCATTAGCCTTAATTTTCAGAAAATTGTTGAACTTTAACTGTCCAATCTTTAAATATTTCTCAACGCTCAGTTTACAGAAAATTCGGGCGATTAGCCGCCACGTACCAAATGAACGAACCAAAACCACTGACAGTCAGTAACAGCAGGACGGTAATTTTAGTGCGCACATCGTGACAATTCAAATTATGCGACAAATTCCAAGCCTAAAGAGAGTAGAAAGTGAAATCCAAAATTTATGTCGGATTATCAATCAAGCAATGATAAAGGGACGTCTGTGTTTATGTTAACGTCGTAGCTGTGGATGGTAAACAAAACAGAAAAAACAATCCCAATGAAGATCGAAGAACATACGAAACAAGTAAACAGCATTACCATCTTACTACTATCACAAAAGAATCCTTCACTATTTTGTAAAGGCGATATGACAGACAACGTCTTGGTTTATTGGAGAGCAAACAACCTATGAAATCGATAGTCTAGTCATTAATTACAATAAATTATGTCGATTTTGTGTTATCTTATTACATATAAAAACTGTTTTACTGAACAGCTGTCGCGTCTTCCGATATCAGTTCATTCGTGAGTTTCACTATCGAGAGTCAACATCAATTGTACACTTCGTATCATTCCATTTTGTTCATTGATTAGTATTCTGCTAATTTATTTTGAGAATTCGAAACCCATTTATCATTAATCCTCCTCCATGATAAATGAGTTATTCCATCAACATATTTTCAATGTCCGAATTCTACTGGAAGATATCAACATTCACAACCCTGAAGAAAAAAGCAGGCTACAGTCTGGAAATTTCCATTCTATCTCTGAATACATTGGTTAAATCTATCACGCTTCGTAAAGGTTGCAGGAAACAAAATATGAATGAAAACAATAAATAATCCTAGATGTAGACACCTAGTTGTATGAGAGTCCGAAATGGACATTTCTACTCATCAACTAACGAAATTATGTTTATGCATACTAAAATAACATATGATCTTGGTTGAGACCTATATGTCTATGAGACAATCAAGTACAAGTTAATTGTAATTCTTAAGAAAAGATATATATTTCTAGTGAAAACCCATACAAAATTAGAACGCTGGAGTATATCTCTTGGCGAAATGAAGTACTCTTTAAAACCTTTCTTAATATAGGAGCACAGTGGAAACACCTAGATATCAATCGAGACAGAAGTTGTCTTTGGATTGGAAAATATAGGAAGTGTCTGAATTTGTATTTACACAAGAGCTACATCTAATAAGCTGTTTAATACCCTTTATAAAAAGTTTTAAATACTTTATACACGATTTAGTCGTTTTTCAGATTAAATGCACGTGATGGATTACAGTAATTTGAAGTAGCCTATGGATGAGCCGACAAGAAGTTGCGATTTGTCATCTCTATCACTTCACATTTAAAGGGAAATTTTGTGTGAAAGCCAGTAATAATTTTCGTCATTTTACTTTCTGAACAATGTACACGTATTGTTGGCACTTATTACTATTTTAAGAGTAAAATTTTCTCATTTTTGCTAGATATGAACACTATTCATTTCGCTTTCAGCGTAGACTTTTCCAAAACATGTAAATTAAGAAGTAAATTAACTTATGTACCAAGTACTTAGATATGAGCTACACCAAGTGTAAGGGCCCCGACCATTGTTGCTACCTCGACGTGGTGGTCGGGCTTGCCTATCATGATGAATCAATCGAGCTATACTGGCTGGAAAAACTGTTCCTCAAGGTCCGACCATGTCAGACAGGTTGGTTGATGAGCGGTAAGACTAAAAGCAACAAACCCAAAGTCTGAAGGCGAAGTCGTACTGCTAACTGTGACCAATGTGCATTAGCACACTCTTCCTAACATTGATTTCTAAGCTCCACTCTCGAGCCCATCTAACTAAATCGTCTAAGTCAGCTTGAAGATCCAGATGATCAACCGCACTTTTTATTGTTCTCCAGATTTTTACATCATCCGCAAACAATAATGTCGACGAACTAAGTAACAGCGGTAACTCATTAACGTAGGGAAGGAAGAGCAGAGGGCCTAAGATGGTGCCTTGGGGTACACCACTCTTGACCGGCTTCCAATCGGATAGCGTTCCGTTGACTCTCACTCTGTCTGCGGTCACATAAGAAATTTCCTATCCACTCATGCACAGTACCTATTATTCCGAAGCTCGTGAGCTTCTGCATAAGACCTACGTGTGAAACCTTGTCAAACGCTTTGCTAAAATCTATGAATATCACGTCGACAGACAGACCGTTATCTAGGGCTGCTGTCCAATCCTCCCTCGCAATAAGCAAGTTAGTCAAACATGAAAGCTTGTTACGAAATGTACTAGTCTCACTATTTTGGGGGAAAACTTCGTATATTTCGAGGAAGCCGCTATGGAAAATTTTGGAAAAATGGTTCAAAAACGTAATAATTATTACGTAGTATATACTACTGAAGACCGAAGGATAAAGATTCAAGGCGAAGTTGTAAGCTTACACCATGTAATCACAATTTCAGTTCTTGAAAGCTAACAACTGGTCGCTTACAAATGTTAACCAGTTTCTAAAAACAAGAAGTGAGTTTCAGATAAATTTTCGGGCAAATAAAATAAACCGTAATATATCTTAGTTGGATCTGTAATTACTTATTATTATCTATATACTTGATTTGGAGACATAAACTAAGAAATATGAACCCGCCTCAAAAGAACTTGTCACAATCAGTTCATTAGCGTTCGCTGGTCTGACCTTGAAATACGGTATAGCTTCAAGCCTCAAATTTTTCCGCGATAGTAACGTATCCTGTTGAAATATCGAACCGATCTAAGCTAAATAACCATTAAAAAGCTGGAATCACCGGAAGGCCATTCTATCGTGATATGAAACTGCTTGTTTCATGAGATTTTCTTCTGGATAGTAATAGAACGTTCTTGTTTCAAAGAAGATTAGTTCATAAGGTGTTTCTTCAGAATGTAAAGCAGAAAATTGCTGGTTAATCGTAGCATAAGCTAATGAAGAGTAACACATGGCAATAATCTCAGAGTACCTGAGAAAAATCATCCATCTTCTACTCCTAGTACCGTCACAGACATCCTTCTTTGGAAACGTTTCGAGAGAGACATATCTATGCAAATATTTTGTGGGAGATTTTCCGGACTCAATCTTGATTAAACACAGAAAACGGTTGTGAGTAGTCCGCGAGTCAGATTTAAGGCAGAGGTCCAAAGACCTGTGTTGCCTATTTTTTAGAATACTTCTATGACCGTCTAGTACTCTCCTGATTGAGTCAGTTGAAGGTGTATATACCACTGTTTTCGATAGTAGGTCCAAAGTTGATTACTTAGTGAGAAACTGCACATCCCAGACATTTTGCTTGTTCTTGAATTTGTGAACACGCCTACCATGTCTTCTGATATATCTAGTGGGAAAGAAGAGGTTCGAATTCACTTCTTATAATCCTATAATCCAAAACGGAACACACCGGTCTACGGCAAGACGAGGTAAGAAGATTTAGCTTCCCGGACCGCTCTGCATGGTAAGCCTCAGAATTCCGGAATTGTAGTTGTCCTCCATGCTGTTTCAAGGATGTCCGAGTCAACTCATAAACTGGATCTATTGGCATGAATACGGTCCCCTGTTTTGACTCTCATAAAAGTTGTGTATACTATGAAGAGCATATTTGTATCCAACTTAGTGAATATTTATCTCAACCCCCATAAGTTTTCAAACATTCTGGCTGTGCTCACGAAGCAATGAGCCACGGTCTTGATGCCGAGATTCATTATTGCTCCTAGATCATTGCTACACGACAATAAAGTCATGAATTCCTCCCGACATTGAGATCACTTCTGTTCCTCTGTCGAGTTTCCACGCAGACACACGTCAGTAGACAACAGTCACAATCCGGTCTAGATAACCAGAAGGTCTACGTCACCTTGTAGTGGACGAGCATCAGCACAGCGGCCTGTTTGAGTATCTAGGCCACTTGTTCCTGTCATCTTATTATCTGTTTTTCATTTTTTTCTAACACTTCGTTTTGTCTATTAATCGATAATCTATACAGGCGCGTTTATGAGAAGCCTACAGCATTTCGTTGCACATGTTACGAAAAAGTACAATAAAAACATTACGGTGGTTGTCAATATGCGTTAAAATGAATGAACGATAATCCTATGTCGATCCACGAGCTTTTAAATTCTAACTGCCGATCACTAGTTAACAAGGTGAACTACCTTCAGTTCATACTCTGTCAGAATATGTACCGTAATTGTAGTATCATCACAATTCAAGAATCTTGCTTAAATGATTTACAGGACGATTGTTTAATATCACCACGTGATTTCAAAATTTATTTTCGGGACTGATCAAACAATAGAAAGAGGTGTGGCGGAGGTATAGCTATGTTTGTAAACGTGAACTGGCGCCGATCTATTTCTGCGTGTTTCAAGATTTGAAATGACGTCATCGACTGTCCAACCTTAAGATGCCATCCAAAACATCTTCATAAGTGAAAGTATATTTAACAATATATATTTCTGCATGTACACACCATATTTACAGCCACGATGTATAAATTACAACATTTGTTGGTTCACAAAATGCTTCCAAACTTATTAAGTTTGTAGTTGTTATAAAGTAGACTCGTAGAGCGCCTGCTGTAAGCCATGACCTTGAGGAGACGCATACGTCAAGTTTGTTCCAGACGTCAGACGTTTCCTAACTGTGCCCTCAGAGCAAATTTCTGAAGAAAAAAAGAGAAGTAGAGGAGCAGCAAGGCAATTGGATATGAACGCCAAACGTTGCTTAACATAGTGTAGTAGGACGGACAGAGGTATAATAAATTAAAATAAATTCATATTATGTCTTGTTAGAGTGAAATGAAGTCAGAGGCTCCATATTAGAGAATGTGGTAATAAAGAACAATGAGTTGTGTCGTTTAACAAGTTGGAGTAAGCTCACATGAAGGAAGGGAAGTCAAGGTTGGTACAAGGAAAGCGGTTTATTAGAAGGGAGTGTGTATATAGAGGGTGAAGTGTTAAGAAAGAGTACACTCTTACATCAATTCGAGAACGTCAAATATAGGAATTACTCAGGAGAAAATATTCAAAATCTGAAAAACATATCTCGTACGGCTGACTGGGAATTATTTACAGATGACTCACTGGAAAACACTACAGATGTTATCAGTTGTTACCTTAAATTCCTTTTTTGATATTTGTTGTCCCACTGGAACCATTTTTGTAAGTTTGATTGACTTACATCTTCACAACTAAACCGATTATTGAGGGTAAAAGACACTATGTACATGGAGAAAAATTCTATTGAAGTTTATAATCTAAATGTTCTAATAAACCCAGAGATTAGACGTCTCAACCCTATGTTTACTCAAAAAACTCCTGTCTTGTAAAAACTCTCTCAGTATATGAAAACTATTTAAATAACTTATAAGTGATGGGAACATTAGAAGCGAAAACCAGCTGAACCCTTGTTACTTAAAGAAGTCTTTTGTACGTCAGTCATCTGATATATGCTCCCTACATCCACAGTTTTGAAGAATAGTTGTGTTCCTAGTTTCACTAAAACCGATGTCCAAAAATGTTTCTAGTCATGTATTTCATCTCGATGTTTAGGACCTGATCATATCCTAAAACTTCTTTTTAAGAAGTGTACTGATGTTCTTTGTTGTCTTTCTCAACTAGTCTCATACCGAAAACGTGGAGAAAGATTAATATAATCTCTACACCTAAGAAAAAATCTGGTGATAAAAATGTGAAATTTAGACCCATAGCAATAACTTCACCTTTCCTAAAAACAATGGGAAAATTATTCTATTATTATTATTTGTCAAATATGCGGATGATCTCAGTGTGTGAACGCAGAGTTCTCCCTATGTACATCTCATATAAATGAATGATTTGTTGTCTCGTATTAAATGTTGGTCTGTTGTTAATGGTCTCAGACATTATCCATTTGAACGTCAAGCTGTTAGATTTAGCATGAGACATGAACGGCATCTAAACACCATTTTGAGATCCTATAAGGCTTGTGCCATTGGAGACTCTATGATAAACACAGTTTCGAAGGTCAATTATCTTGGTGTTACCTTTTCCCCTGGTCCCTGTTAGCCTTCTTATGTTTTACTGTTATCATAGGAAGTTTTCCTTCTGACTTTTACGTTAAGAGGCTGCATGGTCTTGCGATTAATCTTCATTTACACTAGCAACTTTTAGATTCCTGCATGTTACCTATTATTCTTTACTGTTCGCCACTATTCTTTCCCGGTTTTGGAGAATAGATTTCGCTATATTGCGGGGAGGACTAAAGGTAGTTAGCAGTGTGTGTGGTGAATCTTCTGAGGATAGACATCTAAAGACTTGCGAAATCCCGGCATCACCTTCACTCATATCTTTCTGCTTGAATATCTTCTGGGAGAACGTGACGTCAATACATTGAAATCCATGCACGCAAACAAAAGTATAAAATATATATAAAACCTTACTTAGCAAATATACTCTGTGACGAACAGGTTGTTAGAATCTGTAGTGGCATTGGACAATAGCCACACAATCCACAAAGCTGTGAACACGAGACTACTCAGAAAATAGATATTCAATATTTAACGCGGAGAAATACCTAAAAATGAGGAAGGCGCGAACAATGAATTGAATGGACTGTAGTAGGATCGAGTGGCATGGCTCGGCCATGCAGGCGTGGTCTCTATTCATATTAAATATATTGTTCCTTCTCTAAATTAATCTTGTTCTTCACCATGTATTGGTAATTGATACGATACAGTGAGTTGGCGTAGTCGATGGTATGACTTCCACGTAAGATCTTATAGATTAGGCAGTTATATCATGACGAATCTACAAATTTAGGATTAGGTCTATTATTAGAGCAGTACTAATATCATAGTAGACCATAGTTCTACATTGGTAAGCCCGACTAGAAAAACGCAACCTATTATTATTAATCCTTATTTCCACTTCAACTTTCTCGATCGATTTTATATTTATGTTAACCCTGTATTCCAATAGTCACATGCATTATCGTAATGTTATATTGATTAGTCCTCATGACAAACTAGCTCAATCGATAATAAAAACTGGTCGTCTATATTAACTAATTAGCTTTGATGATTTGTTAACATGCTGTAATAGCATTTACATGCTTCAGCGACATAGTCTTGTTTAAACATCAAGCTCCAGCAAATATGACCTGTAAATAGCGTAAATATACATTGACTAACAATGCGATCAAGGACTAAATAGTTATCTGGATCTAATTCTCAGTGTTCCTTCACTTAACACCTCATCCTGTTTTAAACGATGCACTATCCTGTAATATCTTTTCTTCCGACCACTGCCTGCCTAATTTCATATTCTCGAGTTCCATTGCCAAACAACGAGGATGACACTTCTCGAAAAACATACGGTGAGTTTCAGCTATAAGTTTTCTGCAATCATAAGTTCATTTTAGATGGTTCGTTCAATGACAACCATACAATTATCTGGATTCATTCAGTTGTTCTGATCAGAGCGAGTCCCAAAGACCTCAACAGCATCAAGCACCCTGGAAGTGATTGCCATACTGTATGTTTTATTCTGGATGCTTTTGGATCATTACTACTCCTCACGAATGGCGTTATATATGTCGTCCACTGAATAATCTAATTTTCAAAAATAATCCAGGCGAGTTCAACTATTTTACTGGATGATTTTTTTTGTACTTAACATGTATATGTTTTTCAGTTGCTTTTGC